ACCTGTACAGCGACATTATAGAGTTTCAAGTTGTTGGAAACGCGTTAACTCCATTACTCACTCACGTACCCGTTAGTAAAGCTATGTTGGACGATTTTGTCTACGTCAAAGACTATAACCCTATACTGTACGTACCATTACGATATGAAACTGTGCGAAGTATTAGTATCTATATTAAAGACGATGCGGGCAGAAGTGTATCATTTCAAAGCGGACGGTCAATGGTTAAACTACACTTTCGAAAGAGAAGCGCATAATACTTCATCCATATCGTAGAAAGAGACGTTCTCGACTTCAGTTTGGTGGGGGCGTACCCGTTTATACGGGATGATATTATCAAGCGGGCGGAGGATTTGGGAACATACTCGGTGCTTTGGGGAGAATCTCGTTACCTATGATAAAAATCGTTGGGAAAGAGTGCGCTCAGAAGCGGAGTTAAGAAATTATCTAATGTCGTTCGAGATGTGGTGGAGGACGGCGTAAGTCCGCGGACAGCATTTAAGAGAAGAGCCGGGGAATTTTTGTCAGAAGGCGTTCAATCCGTGAACGGGTCAATACGTGCCCCGCCGGCTAAAATACGCAGAAAGAGGAAGAGAAATAAACCGCGTAGACGATGATTCGTGCCGAGGCTATACAATGTGCAAAGTCTGAACTAGATTTATTTTCAGTACCGGGTGTTGTGACGAGCATGACCGATAGTCAATGGGTGCGATATACTCCGACAACCTCTACAATCGGGTCTGGACCCATACGATTCGATATCCTAAATCCCGTTAATAGTTATATCGATTTAGCGCAGTGTTATTTGCGAATTGTTGTCAAAGTAACTAAAAGTAATGGCGACAATACAAACCCGAGAGCATCGGGACAAGATAATAATATACCTCCGGACCACGTGGCGCCTATAAATAATTCCCTTCACAGTCTTTTCCGCGATGTAAGGGTACAACTCGGTCAAAATCAGCAGGAGGTCACGCCTAGTCTCGGTACGTACCCCTACCGGAGTTATGTGGAATCGCTACTGTCCTTCGACGAAGAATCTAAACAGAGTTTTATGACGTGTCAAGGATGGTATGTGGACGAAGCCAACAAATTTGACGATCTCAATATGGACAATGCTCGCTGCAACTCGGGGACGAAAAAACGGTGGAAATCAATAGTTCCCACGCGTGAAGTAGAATACGTGTCAAGACTTAATTGCGATATATTTTTACAACCCCGTTATCTCTTAGACGGCGTTAATATAAAACTAGAACTCATTCGTTCATCGGATCAGTTTTGGTTGATGTACGCCGGTGGTGGGACTACTTATAAAAGTGAGATCGTCAGAGCGGAATTTTACGTGAGACAAGTGGAAGTTTCGCCACGAATAAGAGAACTACACATTAAAGCTTTACAGAAAGGGATAACTGCAAAATATCCTATAACGCGAGTCAAGACAACTGCTCACGATATACCAACGGGTGTAAGAGATTATCATAATCAAACTATTGTCAACGGAGATCTCCCGAAACGTATGGTCGTTGGTTTGGTGGAAAATAATGCGTATGCCGGTACATGCCATTTGAACCCTTTCAAATTTGGTCATCAAAGTTTGACAAATCTAAACGTAAAATTGAATGGCCAAGAGGTACACGGTAAATCTATCCACGTAGATTACGACGACGACTCGTCCAGATTGTACGAAACTTACTTAGACCTGTTTCGTAATGGCGGTGGACTGTGGCGAAATGGATTACACGGTATAACGGCCGAACAATTCCGTGGCGGTTTTACCCTGTACATTATCGATTTTAGTAACGATCTAGGCGCGGATGAAGGACATCACTACCCTAAACAATCGGGCAAAGTAGGAATCGAACTGTACTTTTCACAACCGCAAGCTCACCCTTTGACCATGATTACCTATTTGGAAATGAATAACTGCATTGAAGTGGACGCGTACCGTAACGTTATGATGACGTAAAGATGTTGTACACCTCGGATATAGACGCTTTCGTGCGAGGCGACTACGAGTTAAAGGACGTCTACAAAGGCACATTACCTAGGGATTATTTACTACGTACGCATAAACGAGAGACTTTACCGGCAGCCTATATCGTGAACACTGCGCCAGCTTCGCATTCGGGATTACACTGGATTTGCTTTTACGTACCGAATAAAGATACCGTAGAAAGTTTTGATTCATTCGGTTTGAATAATTCGCTTATGTATGCTGAATTCAATAGTTTTAAATATCTATACGGTAGACGTGCGTACAAATATTCTAGTAGCAAGCTTCAATGTTACGATAGCGTTGTTTGCGGTTACTATTGTCTGTATTTTCTATATTATCGGTGTCGACACAACTCCATGAGTCGTATTTTAAACAGTTTCACCGATGACTGTACTATAAACGATGATATCGTACACTCTTGGTATTGGAATATAAAAGCGTTAAAAACGTATATGCTACTATTTTGTTGTTTATTCGGATATTAAAGCAACGTACGGCTACAGGTTAAACGGTTGATATTAAGTATGACATGTTGGTACATTCGATATAATCGGGTGTAAATAGCTCCCGTCAACGGATCGGTCAGACGTATTCAGCGTCAGCGATCCGTAATACCAGCTGCTGCGCAACAGCCTCTGGTGATTAACCGATAACAACGGCGATGCGGTCAGCGTCAATGTCGCTCACGCACAGTGTCATAACTATTGTTAAGAAGTGACAGTTTCAAAATGTTCGCGACTATAGAAGGTAATGAAAACGGTATGATATTTCTTAATACATAAACGTGTTTAAATACGACATTGGGAAAGCTTTTGTATAAAGACAGTGTCTATTCACGACATATTATTCGTTGTCTCGCCTATTATGGAAGGTCTACACTTTCCAGTAACGTTAAACAATCCGAGTTCAGTCTTTATCAAAGGTAGCAATTGTAGCATCGTTCTCCATTCTTGCATGGTCATTGCTATTCCTTTAATGGTGGCCTTACCGGCCAGAAACATTCTCACGTCCAAAACTATACGGTTTTCAACTCGACATACGTTTAGTCTGGTCACTGCCGACAATTTGAACTGATTAAGCGAACACTTTTCGCCACGGGTGTTCAGACTTTTTATAGCCTCAGATCTGGGTAGATATTTTAATGTCTGGAAAATAGCGTTAGAGGCTTCGATCGGAGAATTATTAGTTGTCCTAGTGATCCATTCGGCTACCGAAGAACCGGTTAGAAGACACATCAGGATAGATGTACCTATAATCATAATACGCTTCTTTCCTTTAATGGATAAATTTCTACCCAACAAACCGCATTTAGCGGTAGCGATCATGGGAGGTTCGTCAACAGGCTGTTCCATGCTTTCTCAACTGTTGAATTAGCTAGTCGTTCGCCGGTTACGTGTATACTATTTAATTCCGCAAACCGGTGTTATATATAAATCTAAGTTACCGGGTTTGAGTGCGGGTCACTGACCCGCAACTGTCACGTGATTGCCCGGCGTTGGACGTTCATTGCTTATCCGGCTGGTCACGTGATTTTTATCGCCGGGCCGTCATCGCGGATTTATCATTGCGGCTCGAGCTGTTGGAGATATCGGACGTGAAAATGGATTGTCCAGATTTAAGCGCGGATTGCGAAGATAGTGTCGACTACGGATGTAAATGTTTGGATGCGGATAGCTGTGGGAGTTCGTGGACAGTGAAGTCAGATATTATGGTCATTCCCGATCACCCTTCCTACAGGTATTTTAAAAATCGTTTAGATACCTACTACAAATTTCCTATTCAAATTAAGCAGACTCCTCTCGAGCTGGCCAGGTGCGGGTTATTCTACACGGGAATGAACGATTGCGTTCAGTGCTATATGTGTGGTATTAAACTGTACAAATGGAAATATGAAGACAAAATATTACAAGAACATAGAAGACATTCCCCCAACTGCGTCTACCTGAAGACCGTATTTGGCTCACCATCCACGACGATCTAAGACGTCGTCAACATCCACGTGTACAGCGTACGCACAGGTTCCTTACGGAACCACCAAATGTCCCAAAAGAAAACTTTTAACATTTTGCTGAGACGCTTTCAATAAAGATATCCTTTCTCTATTTCTTTTTTCAGCTGGAGAATTTCACTTTGTATTTTTTGAATTTCTTTTTAATTATTATTGTATACACTAAGTATAGAATAGCATTCACTAGGTTTAATTATGAATAAGTTACATAACAGCGCTCAAATCATAATGGGATGGGACCCTGGGTGGAGGGTGGAGGGATGGGACCCCTGGGTGGGGGAGGGGACCCTGCGGGTAGAAATCAGCCAATGAGAGGACAGAAATATATGACGTCATTACTCTGGGTTAGGAGGTGGGGGAGGGGGACCCTGCGGGTAGAATCAGCCAATGGGAGGGCTGCAATATATGACGGGCAGAAATCAGCCAATGGGAGGGCTGCAATTAAAAAACGGGCATAAGTGCACTGTATACTACTTATTCCTACTCTTAGAGATAATAAGTATATATTTATGACGCCACACGGCTGCTAGTATTCTTCAAACTATATAGTTTGTAACTGATATATTCAGTTATGATATGAGATATTTAATATATGTATTACTATTTGAAAGTTCGGTAAATTGTATTTAATATAAGTTATCTACAACGAACTAGTGATGTGTAACTGTATGCGTTGCATGTATGGATTAATGTGACTGCTCAAACTAGGAAATAATTAATATGCAGCCGTATCTTTGAATGCTGTTCTATGTACAGTATATAATGTTATATTTTATTACAGGGTGATTAATTGAGGAAGTGATTGATAATGGAATAAATGTCACCTCAACAAACACAACCGCAGCTTTTCATTTTTCGTAATGAACCACCCCTGCAACATTATTAAGAATGTAGTACCAAACCACACCCAAACGAATCAAGAGTACTTACCAATACTTGAAATAAATGGTTGTTTTATCTACAGTGCCCTGGTAAACATATATCTCACATTTCTAGGGAAGGTGTCAGACAACAGACGAACCTGTCCAGCTACTTGTGCGATCTTCATTTCTGGTGAGTGCTTATTAATTTCTTGTCATAACATGACATTGTTATTATTTAAGATTACATGTTACCTTGAAGTTAAATGTTACATTTGTAAACTACTAATTTATCGTTTATTCAGATTGAATGTTACATATTCGTGTTTAACATTCAGGTATCATGTAGGGTTCGTAATGCAAGTCGTTTTCATCCTCATAGCTACACTATATAGCCGGAATGTATTTGATTTTCATGTTGTTGGGTTGTTTTGTTTGTTGTTTTTGTTTGTTTTCTTTTTTGTTGGTTTTTGTACGTGTTTTTGGTCATCTACAATTTTTATTTAGTTATTTGGTTAATCATTTTATTATTATTACTATTTATTCAGGAAAGGACATTCTTCAAAATAACAAAAATGCCTAAAGGTCAACGTAAAGTCGAATCCACTCAAAACAAGAAACCCTACTCCAGTCCGTCGAAACTCCTAGAATGGGATTTTGCTTAATTCTACAAGGCATCTAGGGATAAGTTCAGCAATATTGAAAATCGTATTAGTGTGAGTCAGCTGCCTGAAGCCTGTGCTTTAGAAGTGCTGAGCCGGGAAGGTTAAACTCGGTGATGGAGTAGAATTATACAAATTCTATGTCAAGACTGCATTCGATGAAATCCCGAAGGACCATGCCTGTTTTCATCCCAGAGAGGTTTGAACAAGAAGCCAAAAACTGTACGCATATGGTTTTTCGAGGTCAAGTGAAGACCAGCAAGAACTTGATGGCCAACAGTTTGCAGGTTTTTTTTAAAGTAAACAGAAACAAGAAGCAGGGAGCGGGAAAAACAGTTGGACTATCTGAAACTACAGCCAGTAGAGCTGTCACTAACGTCACTGTCGACGAGGACGACGACGGGGATGATTGTCATCATGAAAGTGGTAGTGACATGAAGAAGCATAATGAAACAGTCATCATTAGCGACGAAGAGAGTGATGACACGACATTCTGCCAGAATAGGGGGAAATGTGATCCGGCGGACATGACATATTTCTACACCGTATGTGGTGGACCGCATGGTCATGAATTCCAGCATTTTGAGGATGAAATGGACTTTTTATATTGTTTTGGTTGTGGTAAACTTTTGAAGTAACATTTGTGATAAATTTTAAAAACCGAGTCCATTATCCGTGATGGATCGCTGTAAGTTTTTATTTTGTCTAAGGCGCTGCGATTCGCACGTCAGAAACCTATTATCGTGGGTTTGAATCCCGGTTCGCTCCGATTATGTTTCTAGGTTTGTCAGCACCATAGCCATGCTCGTAGGTTTCACCGAAGTGGTAAACGTCTGAGACCTGCATCACTTCAGGCTTTCCTTCCACATTAAGCTGACACGCCGCGATAAAACTGGAATACTGTTAAAAGCGTCGTTAAAACCAACTCACTCACTAGTATATAGACAAGATACAATCTTCTTACTTTGAGTTGTTTGGGCGGCTTTCCGCATTATCCTCCTTTGAAGAAGGTCCATTCCGGAAATAAACTCGATAACATTAATCGGATCTTTGTGATAATTAATTGATAGACATATTAACCGAAGAAGAACAAAGAACTGAAAGGAAGATTTGTATTAATTGTCTGACTGTGTACCTGTCTTATACTGACCAATCATAGGCAAGCAATAGTAACGCATGACAACAGTGCGATCTATATTTAACACATATTTGTTGAATGCTTGTGACATATTGATGTTGGACCGCTCTCTAGCAGCACGTTGTTTAACGTTGACAATGTCTACATACAACGTTGATAGGTTAGTAAATTTCCACCCAGAGCAGACAGAACTGTCGTTTTCCTATAATAAAATTTCATCTCGATTGACTTAGATGGGACATACTGTATGTTTAATTTGTGTTGCATTTCAAACTTGTTCAACGAGTTAAATTAACATGCTAATGATTTCAAGAGTGATAAACCTTGGGTTTTTTTAATTTTTAATAGCATAATGGAAGGTCGCTCCTATTTCTACACGTGGAAATATGTATCCGTTCACCCGATGCTCTAAACGAAACAGTTGTCGCACAATCACCTCAGTGGTTTCCAGGCAGAGATAAATGTTTATAGGGTGATAAGGATCGTTGATCGTCGATGACATCGACATGGCTAAACGAATCATTATTTAGAAATCTCGAACTCGTCAAGTTCAAGTAGATGAAGTGGACACAACGCACAAAATTCAATATATTGAATCGTTACTAACTTTGTGTTACACTCTGGAACTTTGTAAAATTATTAGACGCCTTTCTGTTGAATTTTGTTTTAGTTGTATGCTTGAACAAGCAGAACAAGTTCGTACATGCACTGATGTCTGAGCAAGATCTCGTCAACCATTATGTTAATATGGCCTTTTCTGAGGTAAATGAAGACAACGTGATTGGAAACTATATTCAATTGGTTCGAGATGACTCATCTCTAAATCGTGTGTCACCAGTTATCATGTGTCAATATCAATGTAAAGATTTTAGAGATTCTTACATTAAGACTGATGAGTTAGTCAAAGATTTAAAAACACGTATTATCAAAATGCTGCAAATCGTACGAGGCCTCAAGCAAACATAAACAAGCCTACTGTATATGTGATATTAAATTATATTATATTATATTATATTATATTATATTATATTATATTATATTATATTATATTATATTATATTATATTATATTATATTATATTATATTATATTATATTGTTTCATGTATCATATGCTATTTATGTATTTGTGAATAAACAGTTGTTGACATTAATGTGACTTATTCCTGATATGATGTGAGATAGTGCTAACTCCAGATGCCCACATACGTCAAGCTTGTGGACGAGACACAACTCCACAATTATCCGCCAGCCGACCTTTTTGCTAAGTGCATAAGATTTGTGACAAAGTATTGGACCAAGTGTGTGCGGTTTTAATATAAAACAATGCGGTCATTAAAAAAGAGCTCACTGTTTGTTTAAGATGGCTATTGAACAACAACAGCAACAGCCCTCGCAGTTGAGAAATGAGTCCTACTTGGAGGAGTATTATGTTAATCCTCGTAGACCAGGTGCCTTTTCTGGACCTGGAAAGTTTCGGGCTGCATTGAAGCAACATGGTAAAAAATACAGTCTGAACACAGTGAAAAACTTTTTACAAGGAGGGGGCACGGGTGGCCCAGTCGCCTAAGGCGCCGCGATTCGCTGTGCAGAGTTGCGTCCCTTGGGCACGCCAGAAACCTATGATTGTTGGTTCGCATCCCGGTTCGCCCCGCTTATGTTTCTAGGTTTGTCAGCACCATACCCGTGCTCGTGGGTTTCACCGAAGTGGTAAACGTCTGAGACCTGCATCACTTCGGGCTTTCCTCCCACATTAAGCTGACACGCCGCGATATAACTGGAATACTGTTAAAAGCGGCGTTAAACCCAACTCACTCACTCACTCACGATGTACGTTCTTAGTTGTAATTATTTTGTCTCCAGCTTTCCGTTTTATAGCTTTGGTTCTTTTCTGCTCGGCTTCTGCTCTATCTATGACATCTTTAGCTTGTGATGTCATGAGCAGACTCTGGACGATATACATAATATGACAAGAGGACAAATCGAGGCTGTCGTAGATGTAGTGAGAATGTTACTTGATGGTCGCATACCTGTGACACGTGCTGAGAACCGCAGATTTTTGCAACCTAATCCGAATAACAACTACCTTAGGATTTTACGACGCTTCACTCATCCGAACACACGTGACGCGAGTATCAAACGCATTTTCATTCGAAACACACAGCTGATAACATTTATTTTTAAATTTGAACATTTACGTCAAGAGCGAGATGAGGCTAGAAATAATCTCCGTCGTCATGCAAGACGACAGAGACAACAGGGAAACATTGTACCAAGTGCAGCTTAATTGTTGGTGTAGTGAGTGAGTGAGTGAGTGAGTGAGTGAGTGAGTGAGTGAGTGAGTGAGTGAGTGAGTGAGTGAGTGAGTGAGTTTAGCAATATTCCAGCAATATCACGGCGGGGGACACCAGAAATGGGCTTCACACATTGTACCCATGTCGGGAATCGAACCCGGGTCTTCGGCGTGACGAGCGAACGCTTTAACCACTAGGCTACCCGACCGCACCTCAGGTGTAAACTAGGTAGGTTTTACATTTGCACTGTAACCGCTTGTTAGTCAACATGGATACAGAGTGTTTACTCCCTTTCTCCACACCTACCACGATTTCAATTATTGGAGGTACGTGCAGTGGAAAAACGTTTTTGTGTAGACGAATTTTGTTGAATACTAATGTCATGTTTGATAAAACACCAGAACTCATCGTGTATTGTTATGCCGCTTGGCAAGACATGTACAGTAAACTACGGTTATAACGAACTCAAAGGGACTACTAATTTTAGTTCGTTATAACCGTAATTCGTTATAAGCATATGTACAGCTTAACTACAGCATATAGTCGGGACTAAAAAGTTAGTTCGTTATATCCATAAGTTCGTTATAAGCGTGTTCGTTATAACCGGAGTTGACTGTATGTCGATATGCAAACATCTGTTGACAACATTCTGTTAAATGAAGGCTTCCCTCCTGCAAGTGATCTGTATTCATGGTCGAACACCTCTCACAAGACTATGGTGTTAGTGTTAGATGATTTCATGATGGAAATAGCAGGAAGCAAGCTCATGCTAACCTTATATTCAACGCTCTCTCATCATCTAGGCATTACCGTAATTAATTTACAACAATCAGCCTACCCAAAAGGTCTTTATGCATGAACACTGAGTTTAAACACACTATATATATATAATTGTCCAACCCCCGTTCAGCACAGGAGCATAAAATACTAACCTCACAGATATTTCCAGGACAAAGCAAATATTTCTATTCAAAATGTATACATATTCCATAGATTGCTGGCTTTCTGCAGGTTTTCATTGGCAGCAACATAAGCAGTGCTTCTAAAATAGACAAAATCTAAAAGAAAACAACCAAATAAAATGATGTCAAATTATAACAAAGTTCAGTTAAAGTCGTCATTATCCTTCTTGCCTGAATTGCGTCCCTTAGGCACGCCAGAAACCTATGATTGTGGGTTCGAATCCCGGTTCGCCCCGATTATGTTTCTAGGTTTGTCAGCACCATACCCGTGCTCGTGGGTTTCACCGAAGTGGTAAACGTCTGAGACCTGCATCACTTCGGGCTTTCCTCCCACATTAAGCTGACACGCCGTGATATAACTGGAATACTGTTAAAAGCGGCGTTAAACCCAACTCACTCACACTCACTCTTGCCTGAAAGCGAGTAAGGTATCGGGGGGTTGCACTGTGTCATCACGATCAACTGGCATCAATGGTGTTTGAGAAGAATCACTTGATGGCGTGACAGGTGAGTGCACATGAGAGAGGTCACTAGATGAGGTGTGCATCAGTGGTGAGACGGGAGAACTTGCTGAAGATGACATCTCGGGAGTGACAACTTGCAATACTGTAGTTTTAGAGGATGCACATGAGTTGTTGTTTGATTGGGGAAGAAGTTGTCCAAAAGGTGAAGAAGGGTTGCTCTGGTGATTGATGTTCATCAGTGTTAGTGTCCTCTGATAGGTTTAAGGTCTGCATTGAGACGGCATCAACATCAGGTGGAAAGGGTTGAGGGTGACGTGGTCTTTGTGGAGCCTCGCTATCATGAGGTGAGGGTTTCAGACACCGTCGCAGGAAGCGATTGAAGTAGATTAGAAGGAGTGAGATAGTTGTTGTGATTGCTAAGGCAAGGATTCCTATTACTTCATTTGTTAGTTCTGGAAAGTAATAATAAACATTTTCAATCCACTTTTCTTTTCTTTTTTCAAAATAATAATATAAAAAAATAATTAAAAAACAAAACAATTAGGTAAACTATAATTTCTTTTTTCTTATTTGTTTTGTTTTAGATTAATAATTACTTGTTAGTAGGTACAAGCGCATAATCTGTTTCCTCTAGTTCAGTATTTATACTATCATTTAAGTTTCTGCTTTCGCTTTCGGTAACAAAACAAAATTAAAAAGAGTGTCGCAAAAACTACACAAAATACAGATAATGCCACAGACAGTGACACAACAAATGTATTACCTGCAAGTTTATCCGTGATTGTTGTGGAAGTCGTCGTTTTTGTTGTTGGGGGCTCTAGGTATGAATAAAAAACAAAAACAAACAATAAACAATTAACAATAGTTCATAACTAATATTAAAGGATACAATAGTTGTATAATATTCTGATGATCTAATAACTATGAGCTATGATTATCGTGACTAAGCTATCAAGGTCTAGATATACATAACGTAAACATAAAAAGAAACAATAAAAAATAAACACAAAAGAAAAAACAACAAAAAACTCAAATTATAACACATATCATATACCATCATATATATGTATGACCTGTGACAAACCACAGACAGTGACACAACAAATGTATTACCTGCAAGTTTATTCGTGATTGTTGTTGAAATCGTCAGTGCTCCAGTGTTAGGTGGTTGAGTGGGCATCGTCTCTGTTAGAGGCGTCGATGTTGGAGGCGTTGTCATTGTTGGAGGCGTGTTTGTTGGAGGCGTTGCCATTGGGTCACGGAGAGGTCTACCTAAAGGAGCTCTAAGCTGATAAAAAAACACTGTCTGTATCTGTCATCAACAGCTTCAGCTATATATATGTCGAATAACGAATTTCTGTACCAGAATTTTCATGTGAAATATGTGAAGAGGGTGTTGGAAAACCCAAGATGACTGTCACTAACGGTATACGGTCTCATATTAGGTCAGTTACAACCAACTTGAATATTCACTGACGGTATACGGGCTCATGTGGGGTCAGTAGTTCTGCTCTCTGATTGGTCAATCTCACTTTATATGGTGTCAATCACTGGATTGTCTGGTCCAGACTCGATATAGCTGGAATATTGCTGATTGCGGCGTTAAACAACAAACAAACAAGACAAACAGTTCATTTGTTAGATATGATTATGCTAACTTGAGTATTTTCAAATCGAAATGAACGATATGATCAAATCAACTGGGAGGAAAGATTGTTTTTGCTCATCAGTTTATATAAATATGCTCTTTATCAATCAATCAAAGTATCAGTTTTAACAATCAGTTATTACACAAAATAACTACAGTTAATCAATTTAGAATAATATTTCATACAATCGTATCTATATTCCGATAATTCGTGGATATGTTGATACATTTTATAAAATTCAAATCTCAGATAGTATGTAAATATTAAAAGAGGAGTTTAATTATATAGATCTTCTTCTTTATATTTAAACGCAAGCTGAACAGTCGATGTACAAAAATACCCACCCAAGCAACGATTACCTCCCTTTAGCTGTTTAACTGCACCTGACCACCCCAGTTCAATATTCCTATTGACATGACAACCGTCAGCAAGCGGGCAGAAACAATAGACTAAAGGAAACTTGATCTGGGTACACTGGATATGTTCGTTAAGTCCCACACTGAACTCGCTATGTCGACATGACCTAGCTCGATGACATATGACCTTAATACCCGATCATTGCGACATCAGGCTGTGGGAGGAGTGGAAGAGAGAGTGCTGAACAGTTAAATACGGAGGCAGTATACCACATTCCTCATATGTATTATCTCATGTAAAGACTTCATCGCAGTTACCGACGCTGAAACATCTGCGCGGTCATCTGGCTGTGGGAGGAGTGGAAGAGAGTGCGCTGAACAGTTAAATACGGAGGCAGTATACCACATTCCTCATATGTATTATCTCATGTAAAGACTACATCGCAGTTACCGACGCTGAAACATCTGCGCGGTCTTCTGTGAAATGACAAAGTTATGCCACACGAAACATGTCCAGGAACTGGTGTTACTGTAATCAGAGGTCTTCGCGGGAACAACACGGAAATATTCTGTCTACTCGACCATGCAGGCAGGGAGGCAGGCTGTCAATAGACGTGAGTATGCGGTTGTACTGGCATATTGTGTTGAAGTAAATAGATTTCAACTGATACTCAACTATTGCAAAGTTACTAAAGACATATTTATAAGTAATGAATAGTACACCCTATTTATCTGGATAGTCGTATATTGAGGTACAAGCGATCGTGCAGGTGAATAAACCCTGTTTATCCGGAGTGACAAAAGGGAGGTTAACGTGATCGTGCAGGTAATGTATTCGTTGAAGTTAATCTTAATACATTGAATTGATATTGAAATGCAGCCTGGTTCCTTGGGTATGCTGCACTGGCGCAACACTGACCCAGGCAATTACTGCACAATGGCAGCCTCCACTAGACGAACAAACATGACGGACAGGACATGGATTGACTATAGAAAACGCTAGCATAACGTTCAGTGAAGGAACACATTATTTAAAGGGGCACTGATCTAAAGCAATTCCCCAGGACTGTTTGTTGCCTTTGTTATTGTTTTTTCCCCGTGAGTACCCGGATGATACGCAACACAGCTGAGCGTGACAAGAGACTGGGCTACCGTCTGCAAGGACAGCTGAATTTACTTGGAGGCAATATTTGTTTTACTTATTTTTGAACACTGATTGGTTAACTGTGATCTATAAAGATTTCGACAAAGGGCGCATGTTAATTAATTTCTTCAGCCTAAACAAACAGACAAAAAGAACGGCGGAGCTCTTCGGATGTCGTCATTTGGACTGACTGACTGAGTATGGTTTTACGCCGCTTTTAGCAATATTCCAGCAATATCACGGCGGGGGACACCAGAAATGGGCTTCACACATTGTACCCATGTCGGGAATCGAACCCAGGTCTTCGGCGTGACGAGCGAACGCTTTAACCAATAGGCTACCCGACCGCCCCGTCGTCATTTGGAAATAACCCAGATGGTTATAGTTTAATACTAAAAAAAAGTATCCATGCAGTGAAAGCATTTTCGGATTTCGGAATACGATTACTACTCCCTTGTTGTCATCCACGTTTTCTGGTATAACCCGACACTTGTGTATTTGTCGTCATTCACTTGATGCTCAGTTAATGAATTTATTACAGGTACAATTAGCGGTAGCATCACTTAGATTACCTGACAAAGGTTCCCATTTGGCATTTATTGTGTCCTGGGTAATTATTCAATCTAAATCCAGGTTTGAAGTGAGGTTAAATGTGTGTTATGTTATATACACGTGGCAGCCCAGCAAAAGATGAATGATCAGTTGATTTTCTTTTTTTGTAAAGACATATTTTAAATGGCCCAGTTTCAAGTTTGCAGTTGTTTTATTTCATAACTTCATAAAAAGAAGTATCCCAGTGAAAGCATTTCGAGATTTGAGATTGCGTGGATGATAAGATGATTCCTCTGTATCATAGCTTGGTGTTTAATCATGTGATTTATTTGATGACAAGGCACCAGTTCGGTGTATGCCTCATGTGTATGCAAAGTTTCTCGAAGAAATGTTGATTGGTATATGAGTTGTGCTCCGGATAACAGACGGATCACGTTTCTAAAAACCTTGCAAAATTGCATTTGGACAGGGCATAATAACCTCAAACAATTGAAGTAAACATGTACACTTATGTAGTTTAGAATACAGCAAATATGTGTTTTGTTTGTTTTTTTAAATTATTTTTGCAACAATTCAATTCAATTCATATACTCAAAACAGCAACCACCCTTATTTCTCAGACAACTAAACTGCATTTATGTGATATGCATGTTGCAGGGTACGAAAAGAGAAAAGATCAGTTGTGTAGAAAAAAACATTGATAAAAGGATAAATTGATTAATCACTGTTATCTTGTGTGTTTGTTTATTGTAGGCAGATCGAATACACCCACATCTGGGTGTGAAGTGCCTGTGTAAAAACAACCTACTTTGATCTTACTTGATCTACTTGGATTAGCCTTATTGATTCCAAGACAAAACTGTATTCTATTTTTGCTGATCAATATGACGATACGCCCTTATAATATCAAAGAAAGCGAGTTATGCGCTAACTGACTTGGTATATGTATGTCATCGTATCCCAATTCCAGAGTCATATTATGCGATGCGGACGGGGAAGCATTTTACTGCTGCCGGGGAATTGGTAAAACATAGGTGACCAGATAATAGCTCTTCATATAGCTGTAATATTGCTGCGCTCGGTGTTACACAACAAACATACAAACGTTATTAGATAGCCGACTTCGATTGCTATATTTCTATACGATTGCGAAAAAAAATGAGGGATAGATGGTGTCCCCGGCACCTCTTGGCTAGTCGTAAGTTGCGACTTTGAATTGGGAACCCGTGGTAGTTCTGGGTAAGAATAGTGTCTTAGCAACCCATGCATGCCATAAGAGGCGACTATGCTTGTCGAAAGATAGGATATAGGGATCGGGTGGTTCAGGGTAGAAGACGCTTGGTTGATGTCTGCGTACCCCAACATCCGCCAGCTGCGTACCCTGACGTCCGCCAACTGGAAATATTACTTAGAGGGGAAAGAAACAACAAATGTTGCTAAGCTCTTGATTAAAACTATGATGATGATGATGATGATGATGAACACATGATTTATCCCCAGATTCAGGACGGGTTGAAGACATACTTTAAGTTCCCTAGAAATTTGATTAGACCAACGTAATACATCAATGAACATCAATGAACAGTAAGTATTTAATGTACTGCATTCAATGATATGATTTCGCGAGTAGTAGGCATAGTCAACAAGTAAAAGGAACACGCGTGGCCATGTTGTCTACTGCGCCACAGTTCACTGGGAATGAAACCTTTCATTGTGGGTACGAATCATATTCACGCAAATTTTCCTAATCATGTTTCTAGGTTTGTCAGCCCCATACCATGCTCGGGGGTTTCACGAAAGTAAACTTTCCTTCTACTTCACCGAGACACATTATATAAACCAAGCTCGGTTACACTTGATTTCCATTCTGAACTGGCAGTTTGTGTTCATTTTAAGAATAAAGATGTCGGATATGCTGCTTCGTGTGAGCAAGTAGAATTTTTAGAAACTTTTAGAGATATTCAGAGCTTCACATAATGTTCGTATTGAGAATTAAGAGGCATCAACGCTGGATTGCTGATAAATCAGTTCAGATGACCTGACATCCTATGAAGAGTTTGTCAGATTTTCATGAGATTGGATATATGCACAATGTAAATGAACAATGGAGGTTGATAAAATTGTGTTGTTTTGAAAATGAACTAAGGTGATATTTTCTATGTCCATATGTATTTTTCAGTTTAATTAATTTAGTATCCCTATGCATAATTTCAATTTGATGAATTTCAATATCCGTTTCAGTTTCATTATTTTCGAGAACAAATTCTTTACATTCCCGGCCCTCCAAAATATTAAATAGTCAATCACAAACCGATTGTAAGAGGTCCTTTTTTCTTCCTCAGTGGAATCCATTACTGACATGGATGTAGATGTTTCTCTACTAGCAGTCGAGAAGCATCTCAGCTTTCTGGAACTAGTGGACAATCACGGCCATCTTTACGAAGGGCCCGTTCTCCTGAGAGCAATAGGTCGTTATGAACGATACTGGCTGCCTTTTGCATCCAAACACACAAATGAAGTTCTGGCAGCTCCTTTGGACATTGAGTGGGTCTGGCACTGTCATATGTTGGCTCCAATGTCATATCAGAAAGACTGCTTGTCCATGGTCGGCGTTTTGGTTCCCCACAAACTGATAGGCTCCTATGAAAGGCAGAAGTACCTATCTATGACAGAGTATCTGTGGAATAAGGAGTGCCCAGAAACACCCTTCCATGCCAAAACTGAAGGATCAACGGGTGAAAAGGACCTTGTATCCAGTATCAGTTATGATCTTGTCTCAGCTTCAGCAAGGCAAAAACAGTTCTTCTATCAAGTATCCCTACCTCATTACAAGCACCGGACGTACCTGCAAACTGCCATGAAGAGATATAAACAGTTTCTGTTCCTCCTGAAAAGCAACCCAAACTCTTTCCTTGCTCCCACCTTTGACATTGATCTGGTATGGCATACCCATCAGTTGGATCCTGTCGCCTATCTATCTGATACTAAGCGACTCCTCGGTAAGATCCTGAGTCATGATGACAGTGTCAACGACAGATCACAAAACTCCAAGCTTACCAATGCCACGATGCGGACATCCTCCCTTTGGAAAAATGTTTTTCATGAGAGCTTTTCCTTCCCTGGTGCCATGTACAGAGGTGAAAACCAAAAGGGACAATTGTATCAGCTGACAGAGGGAGAAACAAAGGCTTTAGGTGTGGAAGAAGTACTTGTGAAACTCACGCACATTGAAATTGACGGACTTCCAACAGGGGCACGTTCAGCAAAGTTAGAGGTGGCTATTTTACGAGACGAAGTAGTGGTGTTGAATAAGATAACACTGAGTACAAAGAATTACATTGACAAATGTATTTTGACTTGGAAGGGGGCTAATCTCTTCCAAGCAAAGATATGTACAAACAAATACCATGTCATCCACTTCAAGTTGATCGGAAAATCAGGGTTCACGATTTTCAAAAAGGAGATAGAAGTGGGAGAGGCAACGCTTGACTGCCTGTCGTCAATTGAGACCATTGAAGGATATACATATTCAATTTCTGCTAAGAAAACACTGGAACCATGGGATATAATCTTGACATGTAAAGGAGAGTTAAGTCGTCCTATAACGACATTACAGTTGAATAATGGCCCTTGGAAGACGCATAGGGAGGGTCCTTTGTTACCAAGAGAGGAAGTATGGGGTCCTGTGCCAATACCACGTCCTGTAGGTGTTTCAGCAATGTTCCACATGGCAATACACAAGTAAGTTGTTCTTTTTAAAGGAATATTATCCTGACTATTTGACTTGTTTCCATAAATGACCAATGGAATACCAACAGTGAGCTCACCAAAATATATAATTTTATAGCATCTGGTTATTGTCTTTTAGAATTTCTTGGCTATGAATTCTCTGAAAACAATTTACTTCTACAGCATTTTACTTCAAACAAACCATGCAGTTGCTATCATCGTGACACCCAAATAGTTTGGCCAACAAAATGTTTGATTTAGTAGGGCAAATATGGTCATGGAACTAGCTGTGGCACCAATCCCAACAGTGGAAAAATTAAACGTGCGCATTGTTTTTAATTTCACTCCAACTCCTTTACCTGGAGGTTGGGTGGGGCTCTTAGATACACGTATGATCTTAACAAGAACACAAGACAACCAAGGTTGTTTTGCAACATCACAACACCAGTTGTAATCTAAAACCTTGTTGAGTAAGTTTTGTTCAACGTTGCTTTGAACAGTATCGTGTTCCCAGGAATTACAATATGTTGTGCTAGTAAATAAATATCAATAGATGTCTACCATCACTGATGATACAGTTTGAATTCTATGAGCTTTCTCTTGTATGTGTACTTTGGGGCATGGGTGATGCTACATTTCGCTTTGTAGAGTTGCGTCCCTTATGCAAGCCAGAAACGTATGGACGTGGGCTTGAATACCAATGATGTTTTTAGGTTTGTCAGCAACATACCCGTGCTCGTAGGTCTCATCTAAGAGGAAAACGTCCTAAGACCTGCATCACATCGGGCTTTCCTCCCACAACAAGCTGACACGCCGAATACTGTTCACAACATTAAACTCAGCTCACTCACTCACTCTATTAGTACGTATGGCACGTGCCTTTAAAGGTGTCACATATCTACGACCTGAGTCATTGTTGGCCTTCCTCGCAATATGGCTGAAAATCAGCCGATCTAACTTTTAATTTAACTCAGTCACTTAGATATGATGCTGAAACCGTGGTGTTATTGTTATATTATTTCAGTCAAAGTGTTTTTCAGCCCAACACCGTCCCACCCTAAATGCGGAATGTAGACAATTGTGTCCTCGTTCCAGACTTACGGCGGCTGGTTGCACTGCAGAGTTTGTATGCAGAGTCGTCCACTCCACGGATCTGCTGATGTCAGCAGTTCTTGTGTATCACCAGAAAAGACTGGTCTCGTTTGCTTATCTCATTGGTGCAGACCAACTTCCTTCACCAGAAGCAGTCGATTCATCTTCCGTAAGTTAACACTATTCAAAACTGACGTATTAGTGACAAAAGTGATGTCCGTTTCAATTCACAATTTTGCGGTATACAATAAGTTCCTTTGAGTGATTTTTTTGCGAACTGGTATTATCACTAGTTGATAGTGATTCATAAACACACGCTAATGGTATAGTCGGAAACTTACAATGGTCTTTGCTTTTAGAAGAGATTTATAATGAATATGGAAAGGGTTTGTGGCTTTTATTAACTATAAAACGTCAACACCAGGGCTTAACCAGTCTCAACTAGCTGCCTACACAGATTCCATTGATTGTAAAAGGCAAAATAGCGGTGAAAACTATATTAGTGATCGCTGAAAATCAGTGATGTCACCAGGTTTTCGCGAAAAGGTAAGCATGTCTGGTCCTGCCCTACCGGTAGCACCGGCCACTCACACAATTTGCATAAAACAGAAAGTGATTGTTGCCTGACGTTGAACAAACATATTTATACAAGTACTGTAAAACCTTTTTGGGGGAAGAACCGCACCGTTTCCAGTGATACCAGCTGACTAAACAAATGAGTTAACTAATAAGTACCTATTAGTTAGTATTTATTAATGTTCTTTGTACATAGAAAGGTACAAAGAATGGTATCGCTGTATACACAGTAATCTCCACAATGAGTGAGTGAGTTTAACGACGCTCATAACAGCTAAAGATACAGGTTGTTAACTTTATGGGGGAAGAAAGCCCAAAGTGGTACAGGTCTCAGACGCTTACCACTTTGATGAAACCCACAAGGACTTGTATGGTGCTAACAAACCCAGAAACATCACCATGGCAAAATTCAGGCCTGAAGACGACTTAGAAAATCAAATTCCATCTAAATGATTATGGTGCCAAGCGTCAACTGCACATTATGAGATAAATGAGTGCGAGTTTGTTACAATGATTGAAGGATCATACAGATAATCTTGCGTATTCATGATAACATCGTTTCACATGTGTTATATTTTCAGGACCTGCCATCTTTAAATCCAAAGTTAGGGCAACGAGCGATGTTGATACAGAACAATAAAGGAGACTGGGGTTTGGTTACTGGCAACTGGGTTAGCGCCTCAAGTATGTCACTACTTCAATATACAAGTAGTCTTATCGTATTGCAATTGTGGGTTTTTTTCATTTCCTTAAGTTATGAAAATTACATATGTACAAGTTTCGGTTGAAGAATTTTCTTATTGTCTGTTCTAATAGACTAAAATTTGCATTTCCATGAGCTATGGATGTGTATATTGAGTCATTATAATAAAACCACTTTGTATGAGTGACCTGAGTTGGGTTAAACCCTGCATTAAAGAGTATTTCAATTATATCATGGTGTGTCAGCTTGATGTCAGAGTAAATCCTGAAGCGATGCAGGTCTCAGATGTTTACTATATTGGTGAAACTGACGAGTATAGGTTTTGTGCTGGCATGAACACTGTCAGCTCGAATCTGGGCGATTTAAACTTATAACTATACTTGTAGGTTTCTGAAACGCCCTGAACAGAAAACTGCGGCGCCTTAGACGACTTGACCTCCATTGCCCGCTCAAACAAATATATATGAATTAGCATGGTTGATCTCCAAAACCAAGTGATATTTGTTTTCAACCTATAGGTTGTTCGAAGCGTCGGAAGAAGAGACAGGATCTTTGTGGATATCTTAACATCAACTTCTACAAGTTCTCCACCAGGACCATGAAAAATACATGCATGTGTCAGGACCTTCCCTGGAAGTTCTACTTACGACTTGATGGAATGGAGTGTAGAAGAAAGTGTGTCACGTTCCCGGACAAATACCAAGAAGCTGCTGAACGAGTTACCCTGGCTTTCTCCGTCAGTGTCCTGCATGTTCTGTGTCAGCCAAGATCGAAAGCATGGAAAACTGCATTGTCCCCGAACTATGGCAGGAAGCTAGGTCGTCGTGATTTGGCAGATGCCTGTGAGAATGTCCTGTTCCTATCTGCAGCTGGGGTACTTCAGGAATGTCCATCTAACCATTATTTGGAGAACTCATACAGAGACGACAGGAAGGCAAGGCATGCATTGCTCAAGAACGGACAAAAGAAAAGTGGACAAGGTGCTGACAGCGAGAGTGGAGAGGATGAAGAAGAGGAGAAGGAGCATGATGATGGAGATGACGAATTGACAGGTGATGTCAATGTGGATCTGTTTGATGCGGGTCATGATGACGATTTTGAAGACCTTTGTATGATGGGAATGGATAGTTTTACTGTCGACTGTAGTGAAAGCTATGATGATGGTGGAGATTCAGGAGCAAATGATTATGGCGGAGGAGGGGGTTACTACGGTGGCGGGAGTGACTTTACAGGCAGCTCATCGTTCGGTGGTGGTGGATGCAGCGACGGTGGTGGATATGATGGCGGAGGATGTGGAGGAGGAGGCGGAGGTGGATGTGGAGGAGGAGGCGGAGGTGGATGTGGAGGCGGTGGTGGATGTGGAGGCGGTGGTGGATGTGGAGGAGGTGGAGGTGGTGGATGTGGAGGAGGAGGGGGAGGGGGAGATGACTGACTGTACATGAACTCCAACAACAATGACTTGATTATTCAATATTGCATGAGGTGAGAGGCTTGTGAAGGTCTACTGCTGCTGTTGTGAATGTCTGGGGATGGTTTTACTGATTACAGATTTGAATCACAGGCTTTACACCCATTCAAACTTGATTAACACCTGGTCACAAACAGTTGAACTTGGACATTTATGAAGACGTGTTGACTCGAAAACAAAGTGTAACCGGGTTTTCAGTGGCTTTATCCATTATATATACAGATAACACCAAGACGGCTACGGGGTGTGAGGCTTATGTTTATTTGTGAATAATCACGATAGACACCCTGTAATAAGAAACAGAAACAGATAATATAGTACATGCACATTAAGAAATAATACATATCATATAATCATCAAAGCAGGAATAATTACTTACGCATGATATGTACATGATATGTAAATATGATAATTACTTCTTAGATGCTTATTATGATATAGGAATGGGTGCCGTCCGTCCGTCCGTCCGTCCGTCCGTCACATTTTGTTTCCGGAGCAGATCTTGCGAACCGTACCATATTTCTTCACCAAACTTGGCAGATAGATAGATCTAGTGGTGAACTGGTGCCTTTTGATAGTTTGGGATTTTAAAAAAAATTATTTTTCGAGTTTCGATGGCAACGACTTTGATTTAGACTGAAAATGGCGGTAGTCCTCGTTTCCGGAGCAGATCTTGCGAACCGTACCATATGTATTCACCAAACTTGGCAGATAGATAGATCTAGTGGTGAACTGGTGCCTTTTGATAGTTTGGGATTTTCAAAAAAGTTATTTTTCGAGTTCCCATGGCAACGACTTTGATTTAGACTGAAAATGGCGGTAGTCCTCGTTTCTGGAGCAGATCTTGAAAACCGTACCATATTTCTTCACCATACTTGGCACATAGATAGGTCTAGTGGTGAACTGGTGCCTTTTGATAGTGTGGGATTTTTAAACAGTTATTTTTCGAGTTTCCATGGCAACGACTTTGATTTAGACTGAAAATGGCGGTAGTCCTCGTTTCCGGAGCAGATCTTGAAAACCGTACTATATTTCTTCATCAAACTTGACACATAATGTCATCTCACAGTATTGAATACATTTCCTTTCTTGTCGGTAAGTTCTGCATTGCTTGAGTGTATGTTCCTCCAAAAGTGTCATGGACACAGTTGTTGCATTCACTGACTAACTTCATGCAGAAACACAACTCATTACAAATAAAACAGTGTAACTGATCTTAAACCTACTCAACTGTATAAACAATATATATTCTTGTCAACCATACTACTTAGAACCTACACCGAAACCATCGCTCCTAATTGTAATAAAGAAGTTGTTCGTCCATATGTCTCATCCTTACTCATTACAAATTCAGTAACATATTCTATCATAAACTGCAGATGGAAAAACAACACCAGTAATAACTTTTTTTTAGTGCTGCAATTAGGCCATTTACAAAAAGGCCCAGTGAACATAGTTCACAGGAGCTAATGCATTTCACTCACCCGACATGTCAAACTGGCGGGGGATGTGAGTATTTCATGCTTGTTTATAATGCCTAATCTTTGATTACTATTTAATCCTATTTAGAAGTAAAGATAAATTATAAACTAACCTTTAGTGGTGATCTACAAATACTCCCAAAGCAGTGCATAGTGAAAGTGCCAACATGGAGTTAGTCAGAGCAAGTAGGTAAAGTTTGAATTTGGCCAATCACAGGATAGCTTGGAATGTGATTGATCAATAGAGGGCTGGACATAGAATGATGGGATAAAAACAATATATATAGTCCAACAGAAACAAAACTTAAAATAGTTTTATTTACAAAAAAGCTAAAATACAAATATATACACCTGAAACAATAGTTTGCTGCAAGATTACATATCCACCCAAGAGGTGTCCTTCGACTGCTAATAGTAAACCTTTGATTGCTGAGCAGATGTTAACTTTCTATCCGTCAAAAACTATTGATATGATACGGTGTCCTTCGACTGCTAATAGTAAACCTTTGATTGCTGAGCAGATATTAACTTTCTATCCGTCAAATACTATTGGTATGATACGGTGTCCTTCGACTGCTAATAGTAAACCTTTGATTGCTGAGCAGATATTATCTTTCTATCCGTCAAATACTATTGATATGATACGGTGTCCTTCGACTGCTCATAGTAAACCTTTGATTGCTGAGCAGATATTAACTTTCTATCCGTCAAATACTATTGATATGATACGGTGTCCTTCGACTGCTAATAGTAAACCTTTGATTGCTGAGCAGATATTAACTTTCTATCCGTCAAATACTATTGATATGATACGGTGTCCTTCGACTGCTAATAGTAAACCTTTGATTGCTGAGCAGATATTAACTTTTTATCCGTCAAATACTATTGATATGATACAATGGAAAATGACATTTCCATCTATATATCTCACACCACTGGCGCGTAAAACCATACTCACTCACTCACACCTCTTAAATGATATATCAGCAACCAATTTCCACTTCATTGCGTTTTATTTACCTACTTTTGAGTCTTTTTTTCTGCAGAATTAGAGTTTGTTCATGATTTCATAAAAGGTAAAGCAACCAGTATCATATGGACATGCAAACAATATACATATGTAATTATTATTGTACGAATAAATTACAGGCCATGAATGAATGGATTTTGAACTGTGGCCAGCAATGTACTCGTTGTGTGATGGAGTTGCCAGTAATCAAGACTGGCACAACAGGGTCATGCTGAGAAACATAACCCGTCCGTGATGATATGATTTTTGTTTGTATGTTATTCAACGCCGCACTCAGCAATATCAATGCACATGATGTCAATCACTGGATTGTCTGGTCCAGACTCGGTTATTTACAGACCGCCGTCATATAGCTGGAGAATTACTGAGTGCGGCGTTATACAACAAATAAACAAACAAACATATGACGGCGGACTGTAAATTTTCCAGTCTCTACTAAACTATCCAGTGATTGATATCGATCCACGCAATTGGGATACGATGACATGCATCAACCCAGTCAGCGAGTCTGACCACTCCATCCGGTTGGTCGCCTCTTACGGCAAGCATGGGTAGCTGAAGGCCTGTTGTTACCTGGATCAACACGGGTTGTGATTGGTTGGCTGGTTTGTTGTTTAACGCCGCACTCAGCAATATTCCAGCCATATGACGGCGGTCTGTAAATAATCGAGTCTGGACCAGACAATCCAGTGATTTACATCATGAACATCGATCCACGCAATTGGGATCGATGACATGCATCAACCAAGTCAGCGAGCCTGACCACCCGATCCCGTTAGTCGCCTTTTACGACAAGCATAGTCGCCTTTTACGGCAAGCATGGGTTGCTGAAGACCTATTCTACCCCGGAACCTTCACGGGTCCCACACGGGTTGTAAAGATATGAAGGGGGTCTAATTTGAATCTAAATCGTTTTATATAGATAACTACTGACGTGTTGGTAGGGCAGTGTATTTTAGTTACGGCACAAAATGTCATTTTCTTCATCTGAATGAGGATAATGATGGAAGACAATAGTTATATACTGTATCTATTGTGTATGATAGAAGCCCTCGAAGGCCGAGTTTCTACTTTGCCCAACACTGAGTGCACTGATATGGGCTAAGGTTATGCAGCTGGATTGTCGGAGTGTGTTAAAAGTGCATGTATCATGAAACATAGTTATAGATTTTCTTACATCATTATGTAGCCAATATGATGTACAAAGCGATGGCTGAAAAAAGGAGTATGAAAACGTAACCCTAGTGCCATGACAGGTCGCTTTACCTTTGTAGTGCTATTTCAAGACTGCAACGGATATTATGATTTGGAGAAAATAAACAAAGGACATGAACCAATCTGTGTTTTGCAATCACGTGTAACTCATGCGTCTATCATCCTTCCAAAATACGTCATCATTTATATTTATTTTATTTTTTTCTATTTTTATTAATAATTTTGATTTTATACGATATAGGATAAAGCGCCACATTTTGTGGATATTTCTTAATAGTTTGTCTACTAAAAGTCTCAGTCGGTGTTGATATAAGATTGCATTCATTTTCAGGTTTTAAGTTGATTAGGATCCATATGACATAGTGTTGATATATACGCCTGCCTTCATTTCCAAGTTTCACTTGACAAGCGTTAAGTGCTAATCGTTAAAAGTCCATGTTCGGAAGTGAGAGGCGATTAACGGGATCGGGTTGTCAGTCTCGCTGACTTGGTTGAAACATGTCATCGATCCCAATTGCGTGGATCGATGCTTATGATATCAATCACTGGAATGTCTGGTCCAGACTCGATTATTTACAGACCGCCGACATATAGCTTGAATATTGCTGAGTATGGCGTTAAACAACACACCAACCAACCAACCAACCTGTCCGGAAATAGAAGTAAACATTACTCTGTGACAACACGCTCTCCCAGAAAACTAGACCGCCTCCTTGATCTCGTGGTGGAGCGTCCGCCCGGAGAGCGGAAGGTCCAGGGTTCCATCCCCTGTCGCGTCATACCAAAAGACGTTAAAAGATGGTACGTGTTGTTACCCTGTCTGGCGCTCGGCATTAAGGGGCTAAAACTGGTCGGCTTGGAGTGAGTATACTGTGTCTGAGTGGGGTATTCATGTTAAACTGCAGCATGGTATCTCAGTGGGCATCAGTCCGGACTAGTACAAGCAGCACATACTAGTACACACACGTGCATGCGCGTCGCTATATAAGTGCAATAATCTTGGACGTGACGTTAAACCCCATTTCACCTCACCTCACCCAGAAAACTGTTATGTAATTTTAGTCATTTCTGCCAAAGGTAATCTCTAAATTAAGATGGTCAGTACGTTAGATTAGCATCATTGTAAGTCTTGTTTAAATAACTGATAACTGAACGTGCGACCATATCATAACCACTAAGTGAGTAAGTATGGTTTTACGCCGCTTTTAGCAATATTCCAGCAATATCACGGCGGGGGA